TATTCCCCTTAATAAACATGACTTGACCTGACACTAGGCCAAGATTATGGAATTCCGTATAGAAAATAATCCTTCGGCCCAAGGCAAGTTCATGTAAATGTCTTCTTTTTGCAGTCGCATTGGCATGCCCAAGTCAATAAATATTTTGGAAGACTTTGGGTGCAGTATTTGATCGGACGTGTAGTCGCTCACTAATGCCCATCGCACGTACGCACAAGTGTCATAAATTTGAGAATCACGATGCGGGAACATGTATGCGTGGCAATCGCAGGATGACGCGTGTCCTATTTGATGATGAAATGGACTTATTCACTATTCGCATCCTCAGCCCCTAGCATTTGCGTATCGCAACATTTTAATTTTGTCAACTTTTTAACCGTGACGAACGCACCGAAATATTATATGAAAGAATGTCTCGGTAATGACTTAACTTGATTATGGTCCATACATCGGTGCTATCTCCACGTGGATCGAAAGTTTCGTAATGACAGTTGTACAATACGATTGATATTACTTTGCCTTTCCTTGCCCATTACACACCATTACAACCTGAAGAAGCATTGAAGTCTAGATTTACTACTCATCCGCTAACATCAAATTTTGCCTCAATTCGCGTAGGTAAACTCATTAACAACAAATACCCTTCTTCCTGCCTACTCACATACTTCTCCATTGCTGCAAAACTTTTATTTTTTAACATGTTGCATTGCATAGAATACAGGAGTCAATGGTATAAATCCTCCATAATATTAAAAGGTTCGCAACTTGGTTTATGAAGGCCATCGTCCATTTTAAGTTTATATTTCTTGTGTGAAATGTGTCTTGATATTATGCGATTTTTTTCTAAATATGTCACCATGAACAACTTTTCCATACACATGCGCAAAGATAGCTGGAGTACCGTCCATTGTCAGCCAAAAGGAAGCAACAATGACAGATATTTCATCAGGCCTTCGCAATCTTCATACACGTTTTTGATCACTGTGCAAAACACAAATGGCTGTTGTGGAAAAATAGTCCACTGAATCCTGTTATCCTGTGCACCTTCGATCCAAACACCTATTTCTGTATCTCTCCTAAGTCTTCAGATTCTGTGTTTAATATATCTTCTATAACCCATGTACACCCAAGTAACTTTAACTCTGTCTGTTCATTTGCTGAAAAATGACCGCGTTCTACAACCTGGGAAATTGGTTTAGATTAGCTCCCGTGAACACAGCGCACATATGCAGCGTTTGTCAAGTGTGCGTAGATATGCCTAACAACTAGCTCCTAGAGAGTTATTCACCGTATCATTTTAGTATTCTTAATGTCTGTTCTTCGTCTTGTTGCAATATTTTTTCTTTGTTCTTTCGTCCCGTTTCCCGTAGGTGTATTAGTTCGAACTTTCTTTTTTATAAAAAGCTCTAGTTTTTACATAGCTCCGTATAGTAAAAACCACAGCTTTGACTTGGCAACTTAAGATAGTAGACATTGATTTTGTTAAGATAACCATCATCCGTTGTATTCTTTTTGGGGTGCATTAATCCTCGCGTCGGCAGTAGTAAGCTAGGTTGTGCACATTGCTCGCGCCGACAAGTTATTAAGTATGTCAGCAGCTACGCCCATTCCTCCCGTCAGTCACCTGACCGCCTCGGACAGCGGCTGTCTTGGTACTGGGAACAGATGGAGGTCGGCGTCTGAGTGCACTTTTTTACTATAAATAATCAGACGCGTTTCAACCTATAACGGTGCGCTCAAAGCTGTGCCTTGGGAGGTAGCCAACTGACGAGACAAGTCGGTCCGTGCAGTCAGTCCAGCGTGTTTGTGTGGAGTGGCCAATCGATCATCAGGCTACAATTGTTTCTTCTAAATTTGCTATTTCTGAACCTCCCAGTCCGTGGATTCCGGTTGCGCCAGTCACCTGCGCCCTCTCCCACCCCCGATCTTCTTGTCTTGGTCGTGACACTGGACTGAGATGTGGGTGGGCCAAAGAATGCTGCACAACGTGT